CACACACACACACACACACACACACACACACACACACAAAAAAAACCAGTTACCTGATATGTTCCGATGCCTATGTGTTTCGGATCAATCTTCACAAGCTCAGCCAGGGGATCTTGAACACGTCTTCCAATGGACACTGTTTGTGGACACACAGAAAATGGCTATGAGTTTTTTTTTTTTTTTTTGTCAGGTTCTTATTTTTTTCTTTCTTTTTTTGGGTGGGGGTGCAAATGAGAAGCAAACATTTGTGTTTTTTATGAACTTGCAATACAACTTAACTACTGCCTATGCAAAATTGCATTATTTATAATTACTTCTTATGCTAATTTTCTGCATAATGCAGATCTGTCCTGAGGGCAGGCCAAAACTAATTGCCATTCCACCACCTCCCACTAGGATTTAATTAAAGTTGCCATTTAACACAAGTATCTGCAGTTGTCATTTAGTTTCATGATAAACATTGGAGCCATAAACCTAAAAACCACAGATTTATTCAAACCTGTGCCCACTAGCACACAGAGATGAAATGTAGCACACAAACACACAATTTAGATGAACATAATTAAAGTGGATTTTTACATATCAGCATAAATCTATAGATAAAATAAATGTCTTGTATGTGATTACATTAAAATCCGGAGAGTAAAGTAAAAGAAAACATACACATAAAGATGATTTAAATTGGCGGCCCGCGAGTGACCAAAGTTTGGACCGTCAATTGATTCATCTCTTAAATACAAAACTTCCCGTTGTCTACTTAATTACTATGAGTCCTTTTAGTTAAAAAATACATGTTTGGTACTGTATCTACAGAAACGTCAGAATCTTGGCTAGAAGCCGGTAAAATCAATTTCAATGCACACTCAAGACAGTTAAAATCACAAGCAGTTGAAGATAAAAATATGAAAGTGAAAAAAAAAAGTTAACAAATCTGGCAAGTCAGATGTCCAAATAATATTTGTGTCAAAAAGGAGGCATGTGTTCTTTTTGATTTTGATATTGTTTAATTATCACTACTGTAGAGAAAACCCTCGTCAAAATCATGAAGAGTATCCCTCCTGGTTCGAGATGATATCTGTTAAACAAAACAATTCAACCACCAAAATACACAGAGAAAACACACAAAGTCGTTCTTTTATTTTGGCCAGTTAAAAACTAACTGACTTTTATTAAAGATGGAGTAATATTGAATAGTTAACAATTGGTTACAATAGTTTGAACAATAAAGGAGCTCTGAATATAACACAATTGGTTTCTATTTTTAAGAAGTTTAACTAATTAATTAAGCAGTGTGTCTAACAATTTTAACTAAGCAAAAGCAGGTTATTTTATGTACATCTCAGGGTCAGGGTGTGTGTGTATGAGAGAAAGAATGGGATTGAGAGAGAGAGAGAGAGAGAGAGAGAGAGAGAGAGAG